TACCCCCCTTTTTGGTAAGTTTTACCATCCGCCCAGCTGAACAAGCCAGAAACCAGAGAGTAAGTTTCAAGCCGTTTCCTCAATCCTAAATTTAATCCAAACTCTACTTAAATATCAAAGATTTTGGTTCTACCAAACTCTACTGAAAACTTTATTTCAAACGGTCATACCTTGGCACTTGACTGCTTGAAACTCACTGAGTTTCACACTCAACACATTTTGATGCAAAAATTTTGTTCTAATACTTTTATGTATTTAGTACTCCACACACAAGCTTGAACTTGTCAGTGTCACTGGCTTATGACTTGCCACCCTTTCTAGCCAAAATAATTTGTTTGTTACTCATTGTTTCACTTTTGGTATTTGCCAAGCCTCCAGGAACCAATTTAATGATGCATGCCTAGTTACCAGTGTAGTATCATGTATTTCTTACTTGAACAATAATCTCACCAAAGGTATCTTTTTGTTTCTGATTTCATTCTTATCTTGTATCTTCCCTCAACAGTGCTATTATGTCAAAACTATCAATCTAAGCCTGTTATTAATCTGCCTAAAACCCTTTCACAGCTCCCTACATGGAAAAGGCAAAGTAGGCTTTCCATTTTATTTAAGGGCCTTCACATTTTTGACCCTGCGCATTTTCCAATCTTATTTCTCACTATTTTCTCCATTCTCCTCACCAAAGACATAATTTATACTCCAATAAACAAGTTTCTGAACATAATGATCTTTCACATCTCCCAGCCTTTTTTATTTATTTATTTACTTTTTTTTTTTTTTTTTTTTTTTTTTTTTCTTTTTTTTTTTTTTTTTGGTACCGGGGATTGAACTTGGGTCCTTGCGCTTGCAAGGCAGGCCACGGAACCGCTGAGCTAAATCCCCAGCCCATCTCGGCCTTTTTTAAAAGGATGTGATAATAGTATTGTTTTGTCTTTTTTTAAACCCTTGCTTTTCAGGAACAAACATTTGAGGACTTCAGAAAGAAATGGTAACTGAAATCTGCTTCAAAGTAATACAGGAGGGAAAGAAATTGATAGGAATAGAGATGAAATAAATTTAATGTACTCAACTTTCACAGAACTTTGATCTATAACACTTTTGTAGCATTCACCTCACTCCAATATTTCAAAAAATTTCCACCATTTCCTCTGTACTTCCAAAATACCCTGAATTATCTATTTATATACCTTTTCATACTTAACTGTAATAGCTTGTTTTGGTCTCTCTTCCCTCCAAGAATTATGAACTATTAAAAAGCCAGCAATTTTGCTGTTTTTCTCTAGCAGTTAGTATTTAGTCCATCAATAAAATGTTTTTGAATTAATACAATAGACAGGAAACATGAGCAGGAGTAAAAATAGTATGATTCCTTTTTCTCATATAAACTTTTTACCTTTAAAAAAATTTGAGACTGTAGGCATCTGGGTGGCTTCTATTAGAAGGAGCTATATAAAGTAACTAAGCTCCCTTTGAATTATTTCCTAATATTGCTGAAACTGAGGATTTAATAACACTGTAATTCTACAAAGTTCTTGCCTTCTAGGATACAGTGGAATATTATTCAATAATAAAAATAAAGTACATGCCCCAACATGGAAAACATGAAAACATAATGCTAAATGAAAGAAACAAATCACAAAAAACCAACCTGTTATAACATCCCATTTATATGAAACAGGAAATGTACCAAGACAAAAAAGTAGACTGGTGGTTGTTTAGGCATAGTGGGAATGAAGAGGATTGGTGAGAATGATAGTTAAAGGGTATAGGTTTCTTCCTGGGGTGATAAAAATTAATTTATAGTGGTGATGGTCATACATCTTTTGTGACTATACTAAAAAACATGAAATTGAAGGCTTTAAGTGAGTGAATGATATGGTATATGAATGATATCTCAATAAAGCTGTCATTAAAAAGTTTATTTCAACATTTAAAGTGATCCTAGGATTAGAAAAGAATACTTCTAATTAAAAGGTATGGGAGAAGTCAACAAGACCTAAAGACTGACATCTCACAGATCATGTTACTACCAGAGGTACCCAAAGAATATTCTGTTGCGTACAGCTGTTGAAAGGCAGTCTCTGACTCATGATCACCAGATCTTCTCTAGCTTTCTCTACTGTACAAACTACTGTTTCACAAAATGGCTTCTTGATTATCCAGCTGCATAGTGTAACTCCAGGTGGCTGAAGACTACTTACAAAGAGACTGGGGACAGTCTGGCAGCTGCATCAGATTAAAGGGAAACTAAGAAGCAACCTCAGTAACAAAGGGATGATTCTAACTTGTACTGCTCAGACAGTCAGAAAACTCCTAAGGGCCTGAAGAATACCACCATAGCTAACCTGACCAGAAGCAAGTTAAAAGGCAGTAGCTACTGGTAGGAAATAAATACACTGCTAAAACCTCAGATGAGGAATGATGTCCATAGACTTGCAGCTGTAACATTCAGCTGCACTCTTCTCTCTGTTCACTGACCAAAATGACATTCTACACAAATTGCTTCACTTAACTCCATTTCCACCAATTTCTCAATCCATTACAATTCCTCTCTTTCATCTCCTTATTTACTGAAACTCTTGTAATTTACATACCAAAAATTCCCTAACTGCCCAACAAAAAAAGCTTGCTTTCTCCTTAGTAGCTGACACTTGTAGGGATTCTCTGAATCCTTGACAATGTTGAAAACACTCTCAAAGTTTTTCCTCTACCTCCTCTTCCCAAAACTCTGATTTTCATGGGTTCATCTCTGCCTGAGATACCCAAAATATCCATACTTGACACTCTTACTCTAACAAGCATTCTCAGGGTCCACCATGCATTTCTATGCAGAATATGTGTTATATTATATTGTCACAAACTCCTATAATTCTTAAAAGCACCAAATTCTCATTTTCAACTACCTAGAACAAATAATCACCAGATTGTCTCTGGCAAGCAATTCAAACTTTCTAACAGGTCCTAAATCTTCTTCCCCCACAAAACTTACCCTTTTTGGGTAATTATGACCAGGGACATAATCTCCCAAGGTACAAGTCTTATGGAGGTCCTTATATTACCTTTCCCCCCTCAAATCCCCATCCCTGTTTTATGTCACCAAATCCCATTCATTTTACTTCTTAGTCTCTTGAGTCTACCCCACTCCCAACCCCTTTACTATTACGATCTTGGACTATTCTTTATCTTATACATAAACCACTGCAACTATTCTCTATCAGTAATATCTCCCACACCTATTATTCCCTACTGCTAACAGGATTATCTTCCTAAATTCAAAATTGAAACAAGATATCACATTTTTCTATATCAGACTGACAAAAACTAAAAAAGGAAAATATCCAGTGTTAGTTAGAGCATAGGGAAATGGACCATCTCAGTCTCACAGTGAGGGGAATATTATCAGGCAAAATACTGAGGCAATATAAGCAAACTTGTAAATCTCTACATCCTTTGATGGAACAGTTCTATTTCTAGAAATTTATTCTAAGAAATTAAACAAAAAGTCCACAAAAAAGTGCATCCTGAAGTTCTTCTCATCATTCCCAGCAAAGATCAAGACCCTCTCCCCCTTCTTATATATGATGCCATTGGCCTAGAATGTCTGCATCCCACCCATGCACTTTTCTATCATCTAAAACTAGAACTGATCCTTGACTCCAATGGTCAGCCATCCCTCCCGTCTCCCCAAGAATTCAGGCACACCTGTACATTGAACTGCAACCCTTCTCTTCTACAGCAAACTGTAAGCCCTTCAGGGACAACAGTTTTATGTATTTATATATTTAGTGCATATCCATATGTACACTACCTACAACAGTGTCTGGCACATAGGAGTCCAATAAACATGTTGAGTGATGGTATTTTCTTCTTCTTACAGCAAAATTTTTTTTATTTCCAAAATCTCAAGAACTTCTAAAAGGTATTTCCTAAAATGATAGTATACTACAGTATATTATATTAAATTCCTGTATTAAAACAAGTATGTAGGGCCGGGGATTTAATTCAGTGGTTCCACCACCTGCCGCACAAGCACAAGGGCCCAAGTTCAATCCCCGGTACAAAAAAATAAGTATGTAAGCAAACACTCCTGTAAACTGCTAAATAGTTTATGAGTCATTACTTATTTGAAGTTTAGCTCCTTAAGACATAAGAATTCCCATCTCTAGTCAATCCAGAATTTTACCTCTGAAAGTGGTACCAAGAAATACGTTGTAAGAAGACATGGCTATCCTTCTAGATATCAAGTTAAACATTTAGAGGTGTGTCTCAAAAACCTTTTCTTCAATAACCTGATATGAACCCAGCATACTTAAAATCCTGTTTAAGAATCATAGTTCAATATGATACCAGAGCTCTTTCCCATGCTGTTCCTTATATAAACAATATTTTACACATAATTTTAAGCAGTACAGTTGGGCATGATAATGCACACCTGTAATGCCAGCACTCAGGAGGCTGAGGCAGGAAGACTGTCACAAGTTCAAGGCCAGCCAGGGCTACATAGTGAGTATAAGGCCAACCTAAACTGCATAGTGAGACCCTGCCTCAAAAAAAAAAAAAAAATGATACCATGCATCCAAGAACATAAGTGTACATTTCAAGTTCTGTCTAGTGGATCCCTGTACCTATAAGCATACAAAAGTATAAGTAGTTTAGTTATGCATTTTTCTAAGCTGAACTCCTTATAATTTTCTAAAGAGTTCCTAACTTTAATACAGGCTCATAACAGCCTCAGCACATCCTTCATGATTTTATGAAGTTCATTTCTATTCCTTTCAGCCTGTGTTTTTCTAGACTGAAGAAATCTCATCTTTCTGTTATATTCTCAATACAAAAGCAACTCCTGGTTGGTATCATTTCGCTTTTCTTAATTTTGAGTTATCTTACAGACTCCAAATCAGATTTACTTTAATTGTATAGACACAGGCAAGAAAATTTCACCTCTGACTTAGCAAAGTAGTCTCCAAAAACACCTTGACAATCTATGCCCCAGGACTTACAGGAGATCATAAGGTAGTCCTCACAGTTGCTTTTGTCGTCATCTTGCTGGTCCACGGGGATCCCGTTGGCATCTATGACTGCTTCAGAGGCACAGTCTGCTACCAATACTTCTTCTGAAACTACGTCAGTAGTCAGAGGATCAGTGACAATTTCTGCCTCTACGACACTATCATGAACCACATGTTCAACATGTCCAACATCAGACACATGTATAGACTCACTGGTCAAGACATGTTCTGGCATAGACATGGAAGCTGAAGTAATGTCAGAGGCTAAGACATCATCTGGAACTGTGCAATGTGCTAAAGAAACTTCTTCAGTTACATCTGAGTCCAGCACTTGCTCAGGAATGATGACCGTTTCAGATACATCTGCTTCTCCCATGATATCTGGGCACTGCACATCTTCTATAACAACATCCTCAATAACATCTTGGATTACAACAGAGTCTGGGTCATCAGGAACAAAGTTATGCACAGTTATGTCCGAATCCACAACATCTGACACAAAAACAGTTTCTTGTACTTCCACGACAATTTGATCAGCATCCATGTGTGAAGCATCAGCTCCTGAAAAAAATTGTAAAGGACAAATACCAGGTAGGAATGTATGACTATCTCTATTAAAATAAAATGTTATTCAATTTCTATGAGCACAACACCAGCTTTTCATCAGTTCTCTCACACATTAAGGTAGATTAATTTTTTTAAAAAAGGGACTCTATTTTTGTTTTGGTTTTTTTTTTTTTTTTTTTTTTGGTTTTTAGAGACAGGGTCTCACTATGTAGTTGAGACTGACCTGGAGCTCACTATGTAGCCCAGGCTGGTCTCGAATTCACAGTGATCCTCCTGCCTCAGCCTCCTGAAGGCTGGGATTACAGTCGTGCACCACCACGCCCGGCTCAGGGACTCTATTTTTGAATCACATTAGAAAGATATTTTTAACACAACAGCTTGTGGATTCATCCCAAATCAATTAGCAGATAAAGAAATATATACTAGGAAAACAAAAATAGTGAGGCAGTTGTGTAAGAAAAATATTTGGGAAAGTAAAATTGTAGGCACATTAAAATTAAATTCATTCACAGGCATTTCAGGGGTTTATAAAAAGTAATGGGACTATTTTATTTTTCATTACATGTGTTTTTCATTTCTTTTCCTTTTTGCTCCATCTCCCTCTCCTCAAATCATGGTTTTTCTTCTTTCCATTTTTCCCATATACTTTTTATATCTCTTCTACTTTGTCCCTTTCTTCCTTTATATCATTCTCCTTTCATTCTGATACAATAGAGCACCAACATCCTCCATCTATAACTATGGAAATTTAGAAATCAACCTCTGACTGATGAAAGGATGAGGGAACAAATGAAAACAGGAATACAAGGTCGCACTTTGGATGAAAGATAACTGGTTAAGGGCTGGGGATTTAGCTCAGCAGTTCGGTGGCCTGCCTTGCAAGCACAAGGACCCGAGTTCAATCCCTGGTACCAAAAAAACAAAAACAAAAACTGGTTAAGAACACTGTGGGACTAGGGATTTAGCTCAGAGGTTCTGGCGCCTGCCTTGCAAGCGCAAGGGCCTGAGTTCGATCCCCGGTACCAAAAAAAAAAAGAACACTGTGGATAATACAAACAGAACTGCAGCTGTGCTGCACAGGTAAGGGGTGAGAGTAGTTAAAACGGGTTTACCCCACCTTCACCAGGGCACTCTCCCTCTTCCCTGCTCCCAGACCCCAGCTTCCAAGGCAGTTCCTCACAATCCGGGAAACCTTACTCCAGAGTCCATTTTGCAGTTAAGGAATGAAGGTAGAGGAATCAAGTGTAGCCCAGTGAGATTAAATGACTTAACCAAGATCACGTAGTTTGTACAGAATATGGTACCCTGTAAACATTACTCCAAGTGAATGCCACAAATGGGAATAAAAACCATATATCCTTGCTAAAAACAAAATTTTAAAAACAGTATCTTGACTGCTAGGCCAGAGAAGAGCAAAGAAAGTTTTATAGAAGTATTACTAAAAAAGCTACGAAGTAGATTAATGCTTCTGGTTGTGACTCAGAAGAAGAGGCTGAGTCCAAGCAGTCACCTAACTCGACTATGCAGGCCCTTAGAGAAACCAACAGCTTTGTCAACAAGTAAAAATGATCAAGGGCCAACAAATACTAAAAGTTATAGGAAGTCTTTAAAGTCAGTTAATACCCATTTTAATTCTAGAAATAATGAAAAGAATATGGGGCCGGGAATTTAGCTCAGTGGCACCACGCCTGCCTTGTAAGTGCAAGGTCCTGAGTTTGATCCCCAGTACAAGAAAAAAAAGAATATGCTCACTTAAAATTCTAAGGAACTTCTACAACATGGTATATACTGATTTGCCTGCAATATCCTCAACATTATCAAGTGATAGGTCACTATCATCTCCACCTGGCAAACATGAACATGAGAGCATTTAGGGGGAAGAGCATTGGTTACAAACACTACATCAGGCAGAAAGGTTATATACACTTAGTAGTTTTGTGACCTTGAACAAGTCATTTAACCTCTGAGTTCCAGTCTCCTCATTAGCAAAATGAGGACAATAGTATCTACCTCACAGGACTGTGGTGATGACCAAAAAGGAATGTATGGGAAGTGTTCTGAAAAATGGTAACAAGAGGTTTCATTATTATTATGACATATGAAATAACTTGCTCAAATATAAACAAATACCATAAGTGTTAACAAGCAGGACTAAAATGCAATAGCTTTTCAATCTGCCCTGAGCCCATGACCCAGGTTTGCTTGCAGCAAGATTAAGCAAATAAACACTATGCATTTTTCTCCAAAGAGCTTGGTCTCTCTTTCAAGCAAATTACACTTCATGTTCCAATGAAGACATAATTATCAGTGTTACATTTGTCATTATCAAACTGAAATTAACAAACTTAAAAAGCTATTCCAAGTTGTTAAGAAAAACATAGACCCTCCCCCACTTGACTTTTAAAAATTTTTAAATTAAGTCACTAAGACTTATGTCTTTAATATACTGCCATCTGATTAAAGCCAAACAGAAAACTCATTTAACATTTTATTTGTAAGAATACCTAGGTTAGTGTGATATAAAACCATTTTACATCACAAAAACAAGTATAATCACTTTACAATGTTATACAATTAGAACTATGAGTAATTCAAAATTGTGAATGCTCTATTTTTCTATTTTTAGAACTTCATGAATATTATTTTCCTTTATACTTTGGGGAGTGAGGTAAGATCATCCTCCTGACACAGAAGGTTCATTTTTGAAACTTGTGAGAATGAATGTTGTAAACATAGGTCAGGGTCAGAATGCAGAGGACCCTGGGTTTGTACTTCATCTGCTGGGTAATATAAAACAAAGAGATGACGTATATGTTATGGTAAGTGCTCTTATCAGTAGGCATAATAAAAGAGACACAGAGTTAAGGAAAAAAATATAAAAGTTCCAGCACATGAAGAAAGATAATAGAGTCTATCTATACAATAGAAATAGAATGAAGAGGAACAGATATAAACAAGGAACATTTTCAAAGGGACAACCAACAGAATGGGGCAAGATGAGAATAACTGAAAACACTAAGGTTTTAATATTGCTGCTTTCACCAATTCAGTATCCCTTATCCAAAAAACCTGAGACTATATCTTTTCAGATTTTGGAATAGCTGAATATACATTATGAAATATCTTGGCAACAGGTTCCAAGAGGAAACACAAAATTCGTTATGTTTCATATGTACCTCACACAGACAGTCTGAAGGTAATTTTATACAATATTTTTAGTGTGCCTGGGTTTGACTGCAACTCAATAGAAGGTCAGGTGTGAAATTTTCTACTTGAGAGTCATGAGGGCACTCAAAAACTGTTTTGGATTTTGGAGCACATTGGATTTTGGGTTAGGGATACTCAACCCATACTGACAAGAATGTGAGAACTGTTGTGAAGGAGCCACATTTTTGAGGTGGCGAATAATGTGCTCACTATAAAATTTGTAGACTCTGACAGGCTAAGAATGAATATCAGTATGAGAGGCTAGCAATTCATCAACATGCTACCCAAGTCTAATGTGGTAAATTAAAAGTGGAACAATCCAAGCAGTTATACCTGTTGCATCAAAAAATGAATTTGGCCCTTGTGGTGGTAATTCAAGTCCATCTTCATCCATGGCCTTTAATTCTCATTAGTCACAGCTCCTAAATCAAGGAAAAAAGTAAACCAAGCATTAATTTTTTAAATCACGTATTAAAAATGTCATCATGCAGCTCAATAGCACTGTCCCTGTCTGGCAAGCACAAGGTCTTGGTCTTGAGTTAGATTCCTGGTACCAAAACAAAAACAAACAAAACAAAATACAA